TGTCTCATGTCACAGTACAATGGTGGTGGTGGTGTAATATTTATTACAGGAGGGCCAAGAAACCCCAGCTGACATTGGGGCACAATTGGGTTAGGTGCTGTACAGACCACATAGTTACAGTCCTTTTCCCCCAGAGAGCTTACAGTCTAAATAAACAAATCAGAAAAAGGATTGGAAGGAAAACAAAGGCACAGAGACATGAAGTGACTTGCACACAGGAGGTCAGTTTCTGAGCCAGGAGTAGAACTGAGGTCTCTTGATTCCCTATACACTAGACAGCACTTCTAAGCAGACATGCCAGACCTGCGGAAAAAACGCAGAAATTGGGCTTGTTTTTAGATTATTTGGCTCGTGAGTTGCTTGTAGCTTGTTGCTTCTTTTTTTTATCAATCCTGGCAAGCAGGGGCAAGGGCGGGGAGAGAGTCAGGGGTGCACAGCGGGACCCCCCAGTCCCAGACTATATGCCGGGGGAATCTAGTCACATAGAGAGTTGGGGTTCTTAGGGATTGGCTTGTTCTGGCCTTGTTTTGAGATGGGATTAGCTTGATTTTTGACTTATTGTGAAAGTCGGGGTGCTTATTTACTGCATGAAAGTTGGCAACTGTGCTTCTAAGTTAGGGTTCCAGATGCAGATGATGGTGGGTAATATTTAACTCCAAATAACATACTGTTTTCATAGATTTTTTTTAAATGGCTTGTACAGAAATATTTCTATTCATGTTTCATTTTGTAAAACTATTTTTTTTTTACAAAACTTATATGGGGGCATCAAGTGCCTGGCACCTTAGCTTTTTGCCTCAGGAGAAAGGTGCTGTGAAAAGAGTCTAGAAATAGAAGTGCTGCGATGTGGGGATCAAATTCCATCCCAGAAAAGGAGGGGCTGCAAGCTGTGCAAAGAAAGCTCTTGAGAGCCATAAGGAATGGGGGAGAAGGGGGGGAAGTGTGTCACCTTTCTAGTAAACTCCTCTGCCAGACAGAAGTGGTGAGAGAGCCTGCTTCCACACGTAGCTGCATCAAGCATTCCTCTGGAGAGAGGGCTGCTGTTACTTTTGCCTTTTAATGAAGGGAAGGAGAGGAAAAATGGGAGATTTGGGAGGCTCAGGGGCCCCCTTTATCTATAGCTTTACTAAAATACATTTTAATTTGATCTAAATTGGGTGTTGATGCTCAGTTTAAAATGTAAAATGGTTTCAAATTGTTTTTATTTGAACAAGGAACAAAAAAAAAGGAAGAGAAAAATGACATCAATATTTAAAATAGCCAAGATACCAGTAGCACTAAATCCTTAAAGTCTGGGTTTAGTTGTCCTGGCACTGCTGGGGCAGCTATATTTAGTGGATCACTCTGCTGTGTTGCCAGGAGAATTTCTGTGCCTTGGGTCATTGGAAAGTACTATGCTTCCTTATCTTATCTGAGCAGAATTTTCCATCTCTCTCAAACATTATGCCATCGTTGTGAGGGCCGTAGAGATTATCCACCTCTGACCCCTTCCTCTCTCACAGGCCCTGCCATCAAGTAGAAATGGGCCTGGTCTACACTAACCCCCCAATTCGAACTAAGGTACGCAACTTCAGCTACGTGAATAACGTAGCTGAAGTCGACGTACCTTAGTTCGAACTTACCGCGGTCCAGACGCGGCAGGCAGGCTCCCCCGTCAACTCCGCGTACTCCTCGCGCCGAGCAGGATTACCGGAGTCGACGGCGAGCACTTCTGGGTTCGATTTATCGCGTCCAGACAAGACGCGATAAATCGAACCCAGAAGTTCGATTGCCTGCCGCCGAACCAGCGCGTAAGTATAGACAAGCCCATGGATTCTTCCTCTTCGAGTGCTTGCTCATGTCGATTCCATTCTAGGTGTGTGCGTGCCCGCATGCGCGGGCGTCGAAGATTTTTGCCTTAGCGGTGTCCGAAGGGTCAGCAGTGGCACCCCACAGAGTGCCACGCTCGTGTGTCGGTATATCAGGCTCCGCTGGCCCTACGCCCTCTCAGTTCCTTCTTATTGCCCATGGTGGCTAGTCAGTGCACCTTTCCTTGCATAGCAAGGGCTAGCGGTTTTTCATCTTTACTGACTTCGAGCCTTAGGGCCTTGTAAATAGTTTGTTTATAGTACTTGGTGTTAAGTAGTTAGAAGTTAGAGTTTTAGCGGGGACTTCGCCTCAGATGGGGCATGCCCCGGTCTCCCAGGTTTAAGCCCTGCACGGACTGCCTGTAAGTAACCCCCATAGCAGTTGCCTCAAGTGCTTGGGGGAATCACACATGAGAGATAAGTGCCATATTTGTAAAAACTTTCGGGCCCGCACGCAGAAAGAGCGGGATGTTTGTTTACGGGGTCGCCTCATGGAGTCTGCCCTTCGCCCAGCTTCCGTGCTGCCCCGCCAGGGCTTGCCGAGTACCTCAGCCTTGGTGCACAGTGTGCCCCGGCACTGAGCTCCACCAGGCACCATTCCTCATTGCCAGTGCCCAGAAAGATAGCGAGGAAGCACGGCTTTCCGGCACCAGTCAAGAACGGCCATGGGTCATCGGGCAAGGGACTCACTTCGGGCCGCCTGGCCACTCCAGAGCCACGCGTTCGTGCCTCCCTGGTCGGGGCCCGTAGCCCCTTAAAAGGTCCACCAACAACTTCCAGGAGCAGCATGGGACCTAAAGCCCTGATGGCACCAATGCCTTCACAAGCTCCCCTGGTGCTGAGAGAGCAAAAGCCTCCACCTGCGCCACTGACACAGCACATGCCGCAGGAAGCAGCAAAGGCTCCCTACAAGGGCAAGCCAGCCGCTAAGACCACTCGGGGCAGTGGAGCACTGCTGATCCCCCGAGACAAAGCAGTGCTCTCCACCTCCATGCTGCAGATCGCTGGAGTCGCAGCACAGATTCTCTGGGGCTCACCCTCGGTCACCGGAACCGCAATCACGGTCCCCGCTGTCTCAACGCAGATCGCCTAGAGGGAGACGCCAGTCTCCATACTACCAGTACCATTCGCCTTCCCGCCGGTCATCCTCGATTGGCCTCGTCAGCATTGGTTCAGCACGCTGCTGGACCTTTCGGTAGCCTCCCCGCTGCAGCTATCTCTTTGGCCAGGCCTGCTGCACCCGAACCTGGCGGCATTGCACTTGACAGCATGGCTACTGCATGACTGAATGCAGAAGAGCGGGAATGCTCAGCCCGGGTTCAACAGGTCTTGTTGGGTAGGAGAAAGCCCTCCACCAGAGCAACTTACCTGGCCAAGTGGAAAAGGTTTATGTGCTGGGCTTCGGAACGACTTATCCTGGCTGAGCAGGCCTCTCTGAAGGTGATACTGGATTATCTTCTGCACCTCAAACTCCAGGGCTTGTCCCTGTCATCGATCAGGGTCCCCCTGGCCACTATTCCGGCTTTCCACCCTCCATTCCAAGGCAGGTCAGTCTTCGTTCATGACATGATGGCCTGGTTTTTGAAAGGTCTGGAGCCTCTCTACCCTCATGTCTGGGACCCTGTCCCTTCCTGGGACTTGAACCCCATGCTGTCAAGGCTCATGAGGCCTCCCTTTGAACTTCTGGCTTCCTGCTCTCTCCTGGAAGGTGTCGTTCCTGGTTGCCGTAACGTCTGCTCACATGGTGTCTGAGATCAGGACACTTACTTCAGAACCACCCTATACGGTATTCTAGAAGGATAAGGTCCATCTGCGGTCGCACCCAGCGTTCCTGCCCAAGGTAGTTTCTCAGTTTCATACCAGCCAGGACATCTACTTATCTGTCTTCTTCCCAAAGCCTCATAAATGGGAAGAGGAACACGGGTTGCATGCCCTGGACATCAGGAGGGTGCTGACCTTCTACATCGACAGGACAAAACTGTTTCATAAGTCAACACAGCTGTTCGTTGCAGTGGCCGACTGGACTAAAGGTCGCCCAGTGTCTGCTCAAAGGATTTCGTCCTGGATCACGGCCTGCAAAAGTGCCTCCACCAGCAATAGTCACGGCGCACTCAGCTAGAGCGCAAGCGTCATCAGCAGCCTTCCTGGCTCAGATGCCGATCCAAGAAATCTGTAGAGCTGCTACCTAGTCATCTGTTCCACACGTTTACATCCCATTATGCACTTACCCAGCAGGCCTGGAATGATGCTGGTTTTGGCAGGGCAGTGCTGCACGCGGCAAGACCGTGAACTCCAAGCCCACCTCCATGACACTGCTTGTGAGTCACCTAGAATGGAATTGACATGAGCAAGCACTCAAAGAAGAAAAAACAGTTACCTACCTTTCGTAACTGTTGTTCTTCAAGATGTGCTGTTCATGTCCATTACATTACCCGCCCTCCTGCCCCTATGTCAGAGTTGCTGGCAAGAAGGAACTGAGAGGGCCTAGGGCTGGCGGCGCCTGATATACCGACGCATGAGCGTAGCACTCAAGGGGACGCCGCTGCCAACCCTACAGATATCGCTAAGGCAAAAATCTCCGATGACTGCGCATATGGGCGCGCGCATACCTAGAATGGAATGGACATATGCAACACATCTCGAAGAACAACAGTTACTAAAAGGTAGGTAATCGGTTTTTGTGCCCATGTTCTTCCCTCTGCATTTGACCTATTCGCTTCAGAGATGATCCTTTTTGTACAGTATTTATGGCTCCTCTTCCCACAGTACAGAACTGTAACCAGTTGATCCTTCAGCATTACGGAAAATGTTGCAGTTCTGGTTGAGAAAGCAGAATGCTAGTTTTAAGGCCAATAAGTTCACCACTAAATCTTATTGGGCGGCCCTCATTTTAAGTAGCGGTTAATCAAAAATCTGACCGTAGGCAGTTGACAAGCATTCAGTGAGTATTTTTCAAACCCACAGAGTCAGTATATTCAGAATTCTCCCAGTATGAAGGAGATATCCATTTCTGTCCATGCAATATTGTGTGACATTCAGTAAAAGTGACTGTAATGATCAATAGTCAAATTTTGTTATTGGTTTTCCGGAAATCACATTCCTGATTTTTATTTTTCCCTTCCTTATTATCACTGCACAATTTCTTCAATTCAGCCATGGACACAGAGCAGACAGGTAAAGGGTATATCAGATACATATTGCTGCTGTGTGTATGTAATGCTTTTGCATGATTGTATTATGATATGTGGCTAATGAGTATGTGTGCTGAAATAACCCCATTTAGGCATTCAGCATTTACACTTTGGGAATAGAAATTTTGAGTCTTTGTATAGCAACTTATAATTAACAGGGATCCCTCCAGGAGAAAATGCTTTGTTCACACAACACTTTGTCATGGTGAAGTTGATCTAGTCTACATTGTGAGATGTTAACACAGGGGTCGGCAACGTTCAGCACGCGGCTCGCCAGGGTAAGCACCCTGGTGGGCCGGGCCAGTTTTATTTACTTGCTGACACGGCAGGTTCGGCCGATCGCGGCCCCCACTGGCCGCTGTTCACCGTCCCGGGCCAATGGGGGTGGCGAGAAGCGGCGCGGGCGAGCGATGTGCTGGCCGCCGACCCCTGTGTTAACACAACTGCCACAAACACACTTGCTTTAAAATTACTTTTTAGTAGGCTATGTATGGCCAAAGTTGTTTGTTTTGCCAATGTTTCATTGTCCCAGCAGGGATAATACCAAAATGAAATAAATGACCTAAAGTTTTCTTTTGTTCCTAGCATCGCTTCCCAAATTAGTACTGCATCACTTTTTATATCTTTTCCTCTTATTTTACACATTGAAGTAATTTTGAAACATTTTGCTAATTGAGGAAGTAATTTTCTTTGAAAGTCTTGCTGTCTATTTCTTGAATTTTTGAAAAAGAAATTTTGCTAGTCGCATACTGATGCTCTTTGTTGGCAAGATACACAGCTGGTCTTCATTACATTGATTGCTTAACACGCTTCTCAATGTTGCATCAGTTTTTGTGGAAATGGCACCAAGAACTGAGACTTGCCATCTTGGGATAGTTTAAGTGGAGCTAAGGGGAATGGGAGATAGTTTTTACATCTTTGCAATCAAAATATGAAAATCCTTTGAAGAGGAAAATGGGCCTAATCTTCTGTCATTTTGCATCTGTTCAATAATATTTGTGCTTTCTAAAATCTCTCATCTAATATGTTTGTCTGCTTATGTGGCCCTCATTGCCATAGTGTTTGGGCCTCTCTCAATCTTTAATGGATTTTATTCCCTCAACACTCTTGTGAAATAAGAAAGAAGTATTGTCCCCATTTTTGTATATGAAGGAATTGAGGCACCTGGTAAGTTAACTGACTAAGTTAAGGGATAGCTCAGTGGTTTGAGCATTGGCCTGCTAAACCCAGGGTTGTGAGTTCAATCCTGGAGGTGGCTACTTAGGAATCTGGGGCAAAATCAGTACTTGGTCCTGCTAGTGAAGGCAGGGGGCTGGACTCAATGACCTTTCAAGGTCCGTTCTAGGAGATAGGATATCTCCATTAATTTAAAAAAAAAAAAATTAATGTCACATGGAAAGTCTATCTGAACCAGGAACTAAACACAGATCTCCTAAATCCCAGTCCAGTGACCAGTCTGCTATGTGATCATGTAGCCCAATAATTCCCATTATCTGTTTTCACTTGCTTTTATGGAGGTAAGAAAGGAATTTTCGGTAATGTACAGGAGATTTGGAATTTTTCAGGAATATAACAAGTTGCTGCAATATGTGGGAAGGATTCTCTTGGTATCTTGCCAGAAACACCCTATGTCTAAATGGGGTTTTAACTAAGGCATGCATTAATAGGAACTGGTTATAAAGCTTAAACTTTTATGATTTTGTGCATGAAGCATGAACTTTTTTTTTTTGTATTCTTTCAGAAATAAATATATTTATTCCCCTCTCTGGTGCTCAAATAGTTTTATTACCACAAGGAGAGGTACATGTCAGTATAAGAAGGCTGTGGTTCAGGAAAGCATCCTTATTCAGGAAAAAACTAAAGCATGGGCTTAACTTCAAGTACATGCTTTAAGAACCTTCCTGAACCAGAGGGCCTACGTGGGTGGGTAATGGAGAGATGGCAGTCACTCCATAGCAAAGGTTAACTGAGTTTCCAATATAAGCCCAAGTTTGGTCCTCTACTAATAACAAAAAAAATCCTGTCATATACCCATGTACTGTATATAAATTGCACCAAAAACCCAAGAGTCTTATCTAAATTGTATTAAAAGCTCTTAATTGTTGAATTCACTCTCATCTTATGTGAACAGGTATTGATAATTTGCCTCTGTTTTTGGATAAATGATACTTCTACCAGAAATCTTAATAAATGGTGGCAGTTCTATTGATGTGGAGTACAGGACAGGATGGAAACCATTATCATCCATCCCAGAGTGGAATGTGAATGGGATAGAACGCTTTGGGGTTTAACAGGAGACAGAGAGACTTACTAGATTTAGCTAATGGACATAATTTTCTCCCTCCCTGAGGTTTTTGGGGGGAAATTGAAGTCTCTTTTAGAAGCAATTACATATTTCATGTTTTACAGGTTTGGTGTTCAAATTACGCCACTCCTTCTGCGGTATTTCTAGTATGCATCAGTGGGTTTTTTGGTTTGTCACGTTTTTTTCTTTAGCAGCTGTGTGCACAACACTCTTTCTAATGGTGAGGAGACTTTTCCATAGGTTATAAATACAAGAAAGCAAATTACTACTAATATTGTAAATAGTAGTGAGGAAAGTGATCTTTAGATAATATAATATAATATATAATATAATATAATATAAAAGTTCTATTTGGAGGGCAAAGGAGCTGCAGCAGCAGTGATCCTGAGGTGTTACCCTAAGGAATCAGCTGCTGTGACTGTCTCTTTTAATGAAATTTGGAAGTATAAAGTAGATTTGTCCGATCCCAATAATGTCCTCTTAAAAACAAAGGGTAAAACTTTCAAAAGTGCCTAAGTGTTTTAGGAGCTTAAATCCCATTGACTTTCAATGAGATTTAAGCTCCTCACTCTCACAGATGCATTTTGAAAATTTTACCCAAAGTGATTTCTAGGACCACTGGATTCTCTGGAAAATGCAATCAAAATGTAAGGTTGGCAATCTATTTTAGGGGAAAACCTTCCCCAAAACATTGTCCACATTGTATCCATCAAAATAATTTCTCTTGCATCTTTTCCCCAGAACGGATGGGCGCCGCTGGTCCCTGGCCTCTCTTCCTTCATCTGGATATGGAACAAACACTCCCAGTTCAACAGTTTCAGTAAGTGGCAAAGACTTTTTCAGATAACTCTGTGTGTTTAAATACACCCTAACCCATCAACTTTTAAATCTTTGCTAAATGTTCAATATCTTTTCATTGTTTTGTCACCCTTTTATTTAATATGCTATTTGCTTTGAAAATTATTTTAATTATCAGTTGTGCTGCTTTTTCTCCATTTCCCAGCTCTTCCCATCTACTCTTTGCCTTCAATATTCGTGCTAGTCCCACTGCCACTTCTCCATTGCACAGCTGAGGGGAACATTGCATCGGTAGTGTCAGCACTTGGAGATGGAATGCTTAATCATTAGCAAGCTCTCAGCTACTTTTAAACCAGATGTGAAATTCTTGTCCACTTTTGAACTTTAGTCACCAGTGGGTAGAAGAGCTGTCTACTAACGTGCTGTCTGGGAGGAAAGGTGATAATATACACCTGTTATTCAATTTGATAATAGTTTGATTCTCTGAATGCAGCTGTACTTTCATTATATATTTTCCTTATACACATGACTGAAAGAGTCTGGACGTTTACAGCTTACCTGACTACAATATCACCAGAAGCCTAATATGCCATTATCAGAAATTGAAAGCGACCTGCACCCATTTTTCCTTAATGTCGCAGTCTGACATTTCACACTGTGAATCATACTCTTCATTGTGTATCAACAGTAAATTATATTTGAAATTACATAGAAAATTCAATTAAAAGAACATTATTAATGTTGCAAAATCAAGCACTCAAAAGTTAGGAAATACCAGAATACAATTTGCCCGTGTAAACTTAATTTGTCCCTCTTCTATGTATGCATTATGATAGTCTTTAATTACATGATCACGTTCTATTTTTTTCCATAGCACCCCTGCCCTATTCAGTGCAAAGGATGGACTGTGCTCACTTAGTGAGCAGTTACTCAGTGTTTTGTTTTATCTTCATTAAGCAAAATGTGGCCTGAGGCCTTATTTACTGCTTACTATTCAAACCCTGCTCTGAAGACAGAATTGTTAATTTTCTCATGGGCTTCTCTATGGCACTCATCACAACAGTGTCTGAGTGCTTCACAAACATTAACTAATTAATTTTCACAACACTTCTGTGAGACAAGAGGGTATTCTTATCTGCATTTTTCAGGTGTGCAACAGACACAGGGGGAGATTAAGGTAAAAAATGCCTACTAATCTTCACTAATCCCCTTCACATAACACAAGAAGCTGGGTCATCCAATGAAGTTAATAGACAGCAAGTTTCCAACAAACAAAAGGAAGTACTTCTTCACATAACACACAGTGAACCTGTGGGACTTGTTGCCTTGGGATATTGTGAAGACCAGAAGTATAACTGGGTTCAAAAAAGAATTAGATAAGTTCCTGGCGGATAGGTCCATCAGTGACTATTAGCTAACATGGTCGGGTGCAACCCCATCCACCAGGTAACCCTAAACCTCTAACTGCCAGAAACTGCTACAGGGGATGGATCACTCGAAATTGCCCTGTTCTGTTCCTTCTCTCTGAAGCATCTGGCACTGACCACTATCAGAATCAGGATACTAGGTTCAAAGGGCCATTGGTCTGACCCAGCATGGCTGCTGCTATGTTCTTAATTTTGGGGGCCCAATTTGAGATGACTAGGACCTGATTTTAGCATTTTATATGTTCAAAAAACAACTCGCACTGATGTTAGTTGCAGCTGTGAATTTTTCACACTTCTGCAAATCAGACTCCAGGGTCTCAAGTCAGGCACCCAGAAAATGAGATACACGTAATTAGTGATCATCTGTGAAAAGTTTGGTTTAAGCGACTTGCTAGCATCACACAGGAACTGTAGCAGAAAGAGAGAGAATTCAGTTGTCCAAGGCAGCATTTAACTGTGTTAACCACATACCATCCTTTCTCTTACTGTAATCCATCCCCCTCATTCACCTTCCAACTTCTGCAACAAACGAAGCAGGGGGCCTGCAGACAACAGCCCCTTTTACTACATAACCTTGAGTCATCACCAGAGCAGGTCCATCCTGTGAACTGAGTGAGGCAAAGGTCTTGTGGAAAGAGAATGTATGATCATGTCATGAAAGACTGTATCATAATGCATATGCACAAGGGGTATAAATTAAGGTAACATAAGCACCTTGATTCTGGTATTTCCTTGCTCTTGAGTGCTTATCTTTGTAACCTTGATGATGATCTTTTAACGTAGTTTTTGTGTGTGTAATTTCTGAAGTTTAAAATAGTAAAAAAAGAAAGAAAACCGAAAAAACAAATTATATGGAATGGTATCACATTGTCACCCAATGGTTCATCAGGAGAGTTGGAAACGTCAGATCCACTGCACTGATCTTCTCCTTGAGCTAAGGAAGTAAGTGATAGCAATAGTAGGTTATCATCCGTTATGTGGACCATCATTAGAGGGGAGGATGAGACACAAGCTTTTCCAGTGAGTTTCACTAATATTTGATGACTGCAGAGTAATGATGAGGCTCAGGAATCTTGGGTTCCATTCCAGGCTCTGGAGGGGAGTGTGCTTTAATGGACAGACTCTTCTGCCCCATCTCCTGCAACTTGTCCCTGTCCCACTCCTGGCTCTTTGGGCCTTTCCCATTCTCCTCACCTAACAAATCCCAGTCTCTCTTCCTTAGGCTTCTAATCCCAGTCCTAGTCTCTGCCTTTGGTCTCTCTGTCTGCTGTCCCAACCACTCTGTCTCTTCCCTTCCCCATACCCAGTCCCAATCTCCTCACCTAGCCAATCCCAATTCCCCCATCCCACCCCAAATCTTTGTCCCCAGCCTCCTTGACCATCCTGTCCAGTTGTCCCCTCCTAACTCCTGATCCAATCCTTCTCTTCCCTCCTTCTCCATTGGTTTCCAGTCTCTCTCTCTGGGCCCCTCATCCAGCCTCATTTCCCCACCCACACATCCCATCCCCAGCTCCTCATCACAGTCTCCCCCTCTTGGATTCTCATTACCCACAATCCCCAGTCACAGTTTCTCCCTATCCCCCCACTCCAGTCCTAGTCTCATGAGATTCCCTTTCCCATTCTACTCCTTTCTCTCCCGTGTTGTCTGGCTTTTCTCCCTTCTGCATTCAAAATCTGGCAGCTTCATTCTTCATGCTATCTGGGCAGCAGGGCCAGGGCCTGGCTCCTTGCTCTTAGTTCCAGTGGCCAACCCCATCCCAGCTCGGAGTGGCCGTTATTAAGAAAATTTGGCTTTGGCCTTGTAATGCTGGGCTGGAGCATGCGCCGTTGTTCTGAGAAAATGGTGTGTACAGCATCCAGTCACAGGTAGGAGTCGGGAAGGGAAGGAGCACGGTCTGAAATGTGATGGTTCAACGGTTTATAACTTGGCCAAATTTGGGGCAGATTTTCACAGGCCCAGCAAAAAGCACTTCGCTGACGCAAAGGCCACCCCCTGCCAAATTTCAAGTCCTTATTCTAAAGCCTGGGGGCACTAGAGCTGTTCAAAGGGAAGGCCTGAGGAATCTTTTAACATGGGCAAAAACCTTGGGAGGGAGGTGGGCTTTAGAGCCTGAGCTCCAACCTAAACCACAACTTCAAAGCACTGTCTACCCATCTATGTTTGGAGCAATAGCACGAGCCCCACTACTCCAAGTCTGTCAAGCAGGGCTGGGAAGCTCACTCCCATGGGCTGTGTAGACATATCCCAAGAGTTCACGTGGCTTGAAAGGATACAGTGAGTTAGTGGCACAGGTGAGACTAGAATTTGGGAATACCAAGCTCCTGACTCGTGTGTTCGGTCCATTGTATTATATCGCTTCTTAAAATGAGAGAAACCAGTTTGTTAACCCCTTCTGTCGGGCCTACTATTAGTGAGTGAAATACTGGAATGTATGGAACCAATTAAGAGTCCCATTCTGGTGGCCTGAATTACTGTGTGTTGTTATCATTTCTCCAGTGAGAGTCAACCTGTGGTGGTCTTGGTCAGTGGCAGCAACTCTGCCAGCGGAATCAATACTTAGACACTTAGCTATACTGAGCTTCCTAAAAGTCTCTCTCTCTCTCTGTACATTTTTCAACTTTTGTATTGCTGGTGCCAGAAAGTCCATTTTTCAGCAAAATACCCGCTGCCTTTGTAAATTTCAGGTACTGTATGAAGACAGTACGCTTCTCATCGTGCAAGCACTGAGAACGCTGTGCATGACTGACGTGGGTGCAGACTTTCAGATATGTGAACCTAGAGAAATTAATTGAACAGGCTAATATACAATTATTTCCTTAGATATCTAATTTGCTATTTATTTACTAGGCTCAGAGTTAATTTAAAAGCTACAGTAACATTAGCTACAAGCTTTTGCTTGCAATAAGCTGGCTAATTCTCTGGCTGTAACTGAGATACCACAGGGATCTTTGCATTGCTCTATTGCTAATATCGAATTCTGTGACTTCATCAAAATCAATAATACAGCTGTGTTTCGCATTGCTCTCATGCTTCGTTAGTACATGGATGTATTCCTTGAAGGCTTTTGAGAGCTAAAGAAAGCACATCTCCTAATACTTGGCACAGGATCTCCTTAAATATTCCCTGGAGTTCCAGCACTGTATAGTCTGATATCTCTTGAGGAGACAAAGTGGAAGGAGGGTTTTGGTGAGACATCATGAGATGAATATTTTTAAATTTTCTCTGTTTCTTGAGTGATTGTGTTGCTGGCAGGCATACATTTTCAGTGCTTGAAATGCCAGTAACCATCATCTCTTTTCTGGGTGTATGGATTGTGACGCTATTATTTACTAAATCTGCAAAGAGTTTGACAGATATGTTCGCTCTTGTTATATGCTGACTTTATTTTAATTTCTTCTGGATCAAAGACACATGTAATATCAGAGCCACTTAGGAACCTTGATATTACTACACTTCTTAAGTTTATTGTCTCTCTAAGCTTTCTGTCCTATATGACAGCATATTATCCAGTCTATGGCATGTACTTCTCTTGGAAAGCATCACTGTTTTTCCATTCCTTTCCACCTCAAGATGCGCAGAGAACTTTCTCTCCTTGTACTGCACACATAAGGCAGTATACATCAGGGTGACTAAAGTGAGCTTGAAGGCCAAATGTGTTCCACAAACTTGTATAATACAGGGGCAGATTCTTTGCTGCACTCAGCATAAGCTGGGCATGACAGTGTTTGGGGTCCTAACAGACTCCCTGATTCTCACTCCTGACCCAAGCACAAATTAGACCAAACCTGGAGCTGCTCAAACTTTTGCCAGCTGGCTATGATCACCCTAGGGACTATGTGCTAGCTGGTGATTGCTGGAGTGCACCATGCTTCAGCTGCTCCCGTCCCCTCTCTGAAATGCTCCCTGCACCAATGGCTGTAGGGAAGGAGGCATAGGAGGTAACACCACCTGCTCTAGTCTCGCATGGGGCTTCCTCTGTACCTGGTGACTTACAAGTGGTTTCTGCTCTCTGTGCACCTCTTCAGGTGCAAAAGGGAGTGAATCAGGGCAGAGAAGCTGCCCCATAGACCTTAGCTGCCCTAATTTTTTATGTGAAATTGTAGCCTGTCGCATATATGATTATAGGCCCCAGCATGCAATTCCCCACATTGATCTAGGTAGCCAGACTTGGATACCGCATAATATACTAGGATTCTCCACAGGTCAACCTCTGTATCAGAGGTAGGCATCTGCAGCACAATTCTTGTGTTTTTCCTGCAATTTAGGTGCAGTTCCTAGGCTCCTGGTAAGTTTGGATGCATCTGGTCTAAACAATTAAAAAAAACACCGCCAATGTGGTGAAAGAGTGCTGAAAAGCATTGAAAGAGTGCTGTTTTTCCCCAGTGAATTCAGACTAACCTGAGACATTATCATCAGCACTTGGCTTTCACTTCTAAGCCACACTAGGTGAGTTTTCTTTTCTAAAACTCATCTATATCTTCAACAGCAAATAACTCTAGAAACTCTGTTTTTAATCTTTTCTGAAGATTTTAGCCAACCTTTAAACAGCATCCATGTTTTTGCCAAAAGTATGTTCCAGTTAATTTCCATTTAACTCCCATTGTCTCTGGATTCAGGAGTTAAAAGTGCTTACTCAGCGCATCAGTGCATTACGCCAGTGTACGCATGTCATAAGCATAGCAGACCATTTAAAACTGAATCAACTGTTCACCACTTTGTAACAGCCAAACAAGGGAAACCCTGTTCGTTACACATACCTGCAAAAGAGGGTGAGGTAATATCGATTACTGGACCAACTTCTGTCAGTGAGGCACAAAACAGAACTCTCACCAACAGAAGTTGGTCCAATAAAAGATATTACCTCACCCACCTTGTGTCTCTAATATCCTGGGACCAACGTGGCTACAACAACACTACATACAACACACCTGCACAGTCAGCTGCCCTGATTTTATTACTGTCGGCTCAACTAGAAGAAGCCTGATGAGTAAAACTAGGGAGAAACGAAATACAGAGCAATTACAATAACAAACTTAAAAGAAAACCAATTAACAGTGTTAATTTTCATGTACTACACACCTCCATAGCATTACTGCATGCTAATGAAATTCTTGAGATGAGGGAGCATGAAGGGAAGGGAAAGAAAAGTTGTTCAACATTCCAGGAACCTCTTTGTCCTTCCCAAAGTTTCTCCCTTCCATTTCTCCCACTAGGAAGTTACCTTCAAGATCAGATTGAATAGTTCGAGGACATGTGGGAATTTATAATCTCTTAGGCATCCCCCAAAGCTGTCCAGATCTAACAGCCTTAGAGTTATATATACCTTTAGTGTCAAGCTAGCCTAGTCATGAAAATAAAAAGAGGCACTTGTTCTGGTGAACAACTTCTCTTTTCTGTTGGAGTATTCGGTGTTTGGCAGAATCCGTTCCTGTTCCATTCATGAGCTGTCCCCTATGCATGCGTTTAGTGTATTTCTTTTCTATATTTTTCTGTACTCAGTCATCATGCTCATCCCAGGAGAAGCTGCACCAGCTGCCCTTTCAGCCAACGGCAGATGAACTTCATTTCCTGACAAAGCATTTCAGCACTGAGAGCATCACTGACGAGGAAGGACGTCATTCTCCAGCCATGCGGCCACGATCTCGCAGTCTCAGGTGAGCTTTACACTCTATTCCTTGAATCTGAGACGTTGTTATGCATTGCCTTTCTGCTATGTGTTTTCAGTTGTAAGGATAGTAATATGGAGTTAGTGTTTTCTGCTTTTCATAGTTATTTTAACCAACACCACTTCAGCCGCACACTCTCAAGAGTGGATACAGTTATTTTCTTGAGATATAACATTCAGGATTTAAAGTGGATAAGTACTTTGTTTGTCCATTTGTACCATTATACTCTCAGATGATAATCCACAAGCGTCACAGATTAAATTTGCTAATTTCACTACTACTTGTGTGAATTTTGTTCCCAAGTGTTTCTCCTGTTACTGAATTTTGCTCCCTTGATGGTAGGAAACTGTTGCATTGTTGGAAGAGGATGTCAGCACCAAATCTACTTGAATGGATGTGAAAACCGTTAGTGTTGATGAAACAAAACACATTTTAGTGCCATTACAGGAAGTCCTGAAAGAACACGTCTCTAACAGTGCTAGGAACTGTGTAGACAAGCAGTTAAAGCCATTTTTGCTATTGGTTGAGGGAACCTTGCTCAAAATAGGGCTGTTTCCTAGAGTAGGTGGCATTTAGATGCAGAAAAGCAGGGGCAGTTGGAATTTGACCCTTTCCTTACTGATCTCCACAACACTTTATTTTAGTAACACATTAGCGTCAGGGCAGAAGTATTAAGTAACTGCCATGCATATATGTGTTGGGCCAGATTCATTAAAGCTAGCACAGGGATGTGTAAATTACACATTTCTGTGCCACAGAAAGCGTTCACAGAAGGACGTTTTTCTGCTGCTGAGTCCCTTTGTGCTTCTCACCAGAGGATGGAGGAACAGCTTTAATTATCACATAGGAGCCATAGGAGCTCTGCCAGATGGAGACACTGAATCAGTGCACTCAGCCAGGGATCTGTGCTGGACCGTATGTTTGCAGAAATCAGAGTAGGCCTGAGGTGACTCTGGCCCAATAACTGTTGACCATTTAAATACATGGTAAATATTACATCACTGGAGGGTTAAATTGATTACTGTATGTTCTAAACCACAGTGCAGGTTACATGATAATTATGTTTGGATCAACTAAGTGTAATTACATAGTAATCTAGAGGATCAGGTAAGTGAAGTAAGTAGTTACACGTTTAGCCATTGACCTCTATACATCGCCATGTAATGAGAGGCTAGTTACATGATTCATACTAAATTGTTAAAATCTTTCCAACTAGTGTAGTCCCATATAATTCTTATTGCTGCCTCCCTTAAGATTGGCTGTTGCTAATTAATGTACCTGTTGTGTTTAATTCATTGTAGATAGGAAAGCTACTGTAGGTAGCAAAAATACATTCACAAAAGTAGTTGACATTCCTTTCTAACATAGACTTATTACTGCTGGGATAATGATGCGTGAAACATTATTGCAAATGTAACACTGTTGTAAAAATTGAAAAGAAGGCCCTAAATTTGTGTTCTATTGTGAACATGGTTTATCAACACATTGTAACTTCATGAATCAAAGTATCAGGGAAGCGGGCTCCATCACATTTATGAGTCTTTAAGGTTTAAACAGTGGAAGGATTATATTAATGTTGTAGTGTTACATGACCTGTAAGACACATTGAAATACAATGTCTTTGTTTTCTTCAGGAACTCTCAATATGAGAGTTATCAGTTCAGTTAGGAAAATTTACAATAACAGCTAAATTTTAAAAATTTTAAATTCCTGGGCCTGATGGCTCATCCCTTGGCTGGCCAAGGCTAGGAGCCATGGGGAGGGAATGGTGTGCCTCGCTCCTCAGTGACCTCTCTGGCCTATCAAACAGCAGTCTATTCTAGGCTTTGTCATCTCAGAGCAAGATCCCTTCAAATTGGGTGCCCTGGATAGCAACATTTGTGGGGAGCAAAAGGAGATACTTGATAGAGGACAGGCCCCTTACCAAAAACAAAAGAGAAAGGGAAGATTGGCGTATGCATGATGATCATGATTCTGCTCACGTTCCGGTCGGTGCTTATTGACTTGTTTGCTTCTGGCAGAGCCCACACAGTTGCTCCTCAAAGCTGGCTCTTTTGGTGAGATGTTGTCATGTCCAGTTTTTCCTTCTTGATTAGAAAACAAAAAAGCTGTTGAAGGTTGTCAAACATTAACTAGAAACTCACCTCAAGCTTCTTATCTTAATAGGCATTTAATGGGCCCGGAGGCTTTATATCAGGGGTCTCAAACATGTGGGCCGGGCCGCAGGAGTTATTTCCTGCGGCCTGCCATAGGCGCCGACTCCACCGGCAGCCAAGCTCCCCTCACCCTCTGCCCCCGCGCCGCGTCCCCGCTCCTCCACCTACCTCCCAGCGCTTCCCGGGACTTAGGACTTCCCAGGAAGGAGGGGGGAGGTGCGGGGATGCGGGGATGCAGCGTGCTCAAGGGAGGAGGCAGGGCCGGGGTGGGGATTTGGGGAAAGGGTTGGAATGGGGGTTGGGAAGGGGCGGGGCAGGGAAGATGTCGTTAGCTGGATCAGCAAAACATAACCCACCTCTGGCCCTGCTGCTGCTAGCTCCCACACACATGCTCTGGGGAGGAGGGCAGGCAGGTGGGCTCGCGGGCTCTCGGAGTTGCTGTTTAAGGCAGTGTTTACAGTCACTCTCGCTCCGTGGGTGGGGATGTCTGCTGTGTGCATTTCAATGAGCCGTTTCCACAGTTCTCTGAAGTTTACCCCAGTCAAACTGCCCAAGCTTGACAAACAGCCTTGCAGCTCCTCACTCCTGACCAAGCCATTGAGCCTGCTCTTCCTGCATCCCCAATCCTCCCCTCCAGCTATACCCCGACTCACACCAACCCTCGGCCAGCCCCTTCGCCACTCTTCAAATCTCCCCTCCCTCAAGGGAGGGCCAAACACACCCAACATTGAAATCCGTCCCCACTGATCCCATGCGCAGTGTGAAACACTGAGGGAGAAGGGAGCCGGGAAAGCAGCAGCAGCCAGTCACTGGGAAAAGCCCTTTTCCTTTAACACTGGGAAGGAGGGAAAGGGAAGGCAAATCAGAGAGAAATATCATGGGGGTGGGAAGGGAACAGGGATCTTGGATTTTCCAGTTTACAAAAGCCAAGCCTGTTCCCCGCGCCTCTCACCCTCAACAATGCCTGAGTGGGAAAGAAATCCCCGACCCTTCTGGGGGATGCAGCCGCTTCAACACAGGTGCTGACTGCTGAGTAAATTCGCTCAATAGAGGCCTCTATAGCGTGCTCTACTCCACCTTGCTCCGAGCTGCCACCTTAGAGACAGAGCAAGGCATGCTGTGAGTAGTTGGGAAGAATGTTTGTTAAAAGTGGCAACGTATTTTGTATGAATAGTTACTTTAAAAAGTTCCTGCCATTACAGCTATATTGATAGACTGTTAGTGTAGATCATCATCAGTATTACTGACCACATAAGGAATAGTTACAGGTGTTTATATTTTATTAAAACCCCTCTTCGCATTAGTTTTAAAAAAGTTAATACATTGACTTTTAATAGCATACTATATTACTCTTCATTTTTTTCATTTTTGATGTACTTTTGTATCGTTGTATGAAAAGGTTTCAGTGATGCGGCCTTCGGGCCAATGTACTAGTCCTCATGTGGCCCTCATGGTGATTTGAGTTTGAGATCCCTGCCTTATATGATCACCTTTAGAAAAAAGCTGATTCACAAAATTTGTCAGACTGTCTTAATCTTTGTTAGTGTGTTTTGCCTTTAATTTTAAAAAAAATACATTAATATGACTGACATATTAACATTTGAAAAAAAAAACTACAGTATGTGTATGATAACTAATTTTTAATTCTGTTTTAAGAGTAAAAGTTTAGCTTCATTGATATGAATGGAGGAATTAACATGTTCAGGTTTCCTAGTGCTATGTTGTTTTTCTCTGAGAGTTGCTTCTATGCATTTCCACTTTTGGAAGCTAACACTTCTACCGTCAAACTGTGAAACTGTATAAAAAAACTGGGTCCACAGTGTGGTGCAGGAACGCTCTCAGGCCAGGATTATGTCATCGGCTCCATCCATAAGGCAGTGCACCCTCCCACCACCTCAGTTCCTTCACTGCCATCAGAGAGCTAAATGGAACTCTCTTGTGTCCATGACCTGGTTATCCTGTCGTCATCTTATTGTGAGTTATAGTTAGATATTTGGGGCCACTTGCCTTGGATTATCCCCAGGCTATATCCCCTTTCAAACATTGTAAGGGGTTCAAAAAGTGTGCATTCTGCTCAAACACACATGTTTGATGCCTAGTTTGCCCGGAAGTGGCTAATGTAGTGTTCCAGCACACAGTTTGCCATGCAGTAACTCCTTGGATGTGGAAGGACACACAAGATTGCAGGAGCACTCGGCTTCCGTCAGCATTCATCTAGACCATCCTAACATTCCTTTGGTAGTTTCAAGATCTGTTTCTGTGCTGAGGTCTTCTATAAAGAGAACTCAGATGCATTCTGTCACCTCATTTTGGCTTGAAATCCGTCTCCCTCAGAGAAATATCTGTTGGAACTGAGCTTCCCACTGGGCACCACAGACTCCAGGAAAACAGACTGCTCCACCTCCATGGTTTACATTGGCATCGAAAACCCCCTCAGTGCAGTTAGTCGATACCGTGAGTGAGAGACAAACTTCCTGATCTCCTTGTGACCCTGTTCCAGAGAAGAAGAAGCATTCTGATTTGCAATGGGAGGCTAAGAAAAAGAAGAGGAGGCATCATTCCCCTTTTCCTCCAACAATGCATGTCGTTGTTGGAGACAACTTACCAGTCTCAACACTCCCTTGGCATGCACCTCTCCTCAACTTGAGGCTAGATACTTCACCAGTGCACCTTCATCCAGTATGGGCCAGTTCCCCTCTCTTGACTGGGACACCTCCCTCAAAGCTTTTGGCTATGCTTGTGCTTCTTGACTCTGTGCAGCAATATTCATCACTGGTATTGAGCCAAAACATCTCGAGGAGCACTTCGTCCCCTGGGAACACACCACGTAAG